AAGGCAGATGTTACGCTTACAAATACAAGTCATGGGGCCAAAAGAGGCACAGGTACAGTCATCATCTTAGCTATAGCGGAGAGTACAGATTATATCCACTATCTTCCTAAAAGTCTGTTGATGGTGGCATAATAATTGTTATTAGTGCTATGCTTTGTTGTTTTCTTCTTTATTCAAACCTATCCTTGCCATCAAATCAAGCTGACTTGCTATATTAAGGCGAGCTTTAGCACGCTTCACAGACACTCGCTCTCCAACGTATTGGAGTAACCTATGGATATACGAACTTCGGTGACACGGAAATTTTACCATTGCTGTTTGTTGATGCAACAATCCATATTATGCAAAGTTATCTTGTTGTTATGAACAGCTTAACAGTGCTCTTTTTCAAATATAAGTAAGCACAACTTCTCCTTGAGTCCCAGATCTGCTATAGAATTTTGTTACGTAGTCAAATCTGTCAAACATTACTCTAGGATGTGCATCCTTAAGTCAAGTGAGGGAATAAAATGCGTCGTGTATCAAAATAGTCTCATCTTCAGCACTTGTACCATGCTGCGGTTTTATGGAAATGTTACCAATGAAGAAAACTGCATACATGACAGCAAAACGAGCCATACACAGATTTTCCTCCAAAAGATAAACGGCACAGCGCGAATCTAATATCCGTATCACTGGAAAACATCAAATTCTGAATATGAAAATAAAAGAAAATTTTTTGAAGTGTCAATACAGTGTCAATGCAGTGGATGAAAACAGTTATTTGAAACTTTGCAAGAAAACTTCTTGCAAGCATTAAGATGGGCACATTTTATCAATTTAATCAGAAGTAATCGTTCTTACTCTGAAAACTTGTCGGAGCAAAGTGAATCAGGTTTCAATAATAACCGTCGCAGCTAGAAGTAGCCGACATGCATGATACATTCAAGGAAGCGCTATACGGCCGTTTCATGCTGCTGTCTGAGTCTATGCGGGATAAATCATTGCTTTGCTGCTCTTTAATGAGTGCCAAGTTTACTAACCTTCTAAGAAGTCTTGCGTAAAGACATTTTGTGGACTTATGTCAACACCTTGAAGCAAAATGTCATATAACGTCGATTTTTATACACCACGATTTCCCCACAGCCCTTTTACTGACGTTTCCCTTTAAGAAGCCCAATAGTAAGGTTCATGAGCATTCTAAACTCTGCTCACTCCATGATTTTTATGACCATCGAATGGTGAATTTCGTGCATTCATGCTTTTCGATTCAGCACTCTGGACAAGTGATCTACACAGTGCACAGTCTGTTTTTTGCTTTTGCGTAAATGCTGTGTGACTGCAATGCATACTGATGCTGCGATTTCTTATTGTATGTTAGCAATACTGCCGTGTTATGATTGCTTAGCGCGCATTCACATTTGCCAAACTGCTGCGAGCATTCTGAGATGACCCCATACGAGAACAGTCACTCCATTTGCCCAAAAGTATAAAATTGATTTTCGTTTTATTGGCTAAGGTACCGCATATGTAAAGTGTTTTATCGATGGTATCGAAGAGGTTGAGTACACATTTTCAATTGGTAAGCAGAGTCTAAGAATTGGGCGAATCTCCAGCCGTTAGGTATATTTTACGCAAGCAAAATTAATATTAGTTTACCCACCTCGCAATTAGTCGGAATTGCGCGGCCACCGTATTCGGTAGGTATCGCACCATAAGCTAATTAACTTGATTTTGGAATAACGCGCTTTTGGCACCATCAGTAATAACTATGCGTAGACAACCACGCATGCGGAACTACGAATATCTATTTGAATGATAACTCTCTATTACGTCAAGCCCAGCACGAGGAACAAAACATGATGCTTAAGGAAGTAAATTGTTCTGGTCTAATTTATCTTCAGGCCTATACATTAATACACTCTGTGGTAAGGTTGGTTATAAGTATCAGCATAAGGTATCAATTGGACAGATAATTTAACTTATGCTCATAACGCTATGAATTTGATCGCATGGTTGAAGTCAAGTGGGTTTGAGCGGTACAGCAAATTCCTTTCCTCCTGATCGTCGGCCACGTTAGTTCCAGTGACTGCAGCATTTATTTCTGAGCACACGGATCAGAGTTCGTTAGCCGCATACAAGTAGGCTTGTTGTTACTGAAAGGTTATGCTAGTGTGGAGGATTGATGCAGTCCCATGGAATCTCTGTGGATCACAAGCCAAGTGCCACCCTAAGGAATTTGATCTCAAGACCCAAAAAAGTCAATCAACCTGACCAATGCTGTGTCATCTACCAGATAAAATGCAGCTACTGCGATAAAAACTACGTCGGACAAACTGGACGAAAGCTTTGTACACGAATCAACAAACACAAGGCGGCCCTCAGGAGGCATGATCTGCATTCGTTGGTTTCTGTGCATGAAGTTCAAAAAGGTTGCCATTTCGATCTGGAGAATACAAAGTTCCTAGCACCGGGAAGAACAAAACACGCGAGGGAGTTGTTGGAAGCCTCGTACCCTACAACGAATTCAATCAATCGACACATCGAACTGGACGCGGTATACGCAACACTACTGGCGAACGACCGCCAAATCGATCGATTGAATCCGGGGGAACTTGTGACTAGACAACCAGAACTGATGACGGACTCGTTCACAACAGCAAGCAGACAAAGGCCACGAAACACAAGGGGTCAGGGTTAACGATCATCCGCCCATCAACCAAGCTGAACGCGGATCGAAGTCCAAAGCAATTGAATTGCTCCTCTCCACGGCCAACCACGGCGGTATAAAATCGCATGCAGACCACGATCACGCACTCACTGAGGCTCCTCTACGCTACTGCATGCCACTCAACTACGCACTGATTGGTGATAAAACGTTTGCAGCAAAATTGCCAACCTCAACGAACAGTTCAACCGCCATCTTTATCAATGTGCCTCTGATAAAACAGTTAATTTCCACTGCTTTTACACCGAATAACAAAATACAAGTATTGATTTACCGATCAACGAACTGAAACAACTTGTACTCAGATGTACCTGCAAAGTTCAACTGCGCTTCCACAATGAGTTATGCACACGGGTCGGTGGCGTAGTAATGGGCTCTCTAGTTGATCCACTATCGGCTGACATCTACATATTAATGCTAGAAGACGGTCCACTAAAACGGCTTATCTCAGCGTTGTTCTGACGATATATTTTCAATGCATGTTTGGACCATCGACTCAGAGTAAGTAGTCGATATTTTCTATAAAACATACCCAGATGCCGCGTTTAACCCCCTGGGAGAATGTAACAATCAAAACGTTCCTAGACACAAGTCTCGTCAGACGGAATAATAACACAATCCATGTAAATGTATATAGTAAGCCGTAGTGTATAAGCAAAATAGAATATTCACAGCTTGTCCGACTCAGCGAAATCTAACGTATCTATCATGTAAAACCCGTAGTCCATACGCTATTTTAGCGGTACTCAAATGAAACAAAAAAAATGCTGAAGCGGATTTCTGATTTGCGGTAGAATCTAGTCAAGAAAAAGCGGCTTGATCAAACTTAACCACGCACGCTGTTGGAGAAAACCCTACGTCATCTCAATTAAAAATTTCATATTGCATAATTCACACTGCAAGCAGAAAAACTAGACAGTCTTTTCAGAGAGCCTCCAATCCGGAAACAGATTCTACTTCCTGAAATGTTTTCAAGGGTGCCTTGCATGCAAACGCTAACAACCTCTTGATATAAGGCATTAACGCTCACACTCAGGCGAACGTCCGCTCTATCTGGCTTCTTCTAGTTTGCGTGCTGGAATAACTACTTCCTGTTAGCCATTGTAAGTGCTTCACAACCAGTCCGTTTGTCACAATTCAAGCCCAGAACACTTTATGCTGAAATTTCCACAACTGTTTAAATCTTCATGGGTTGCTTTAAAATTTTTATAGGTTACTTCAAATCAACCACTTACATACCATGATAATGAGTTAGTTTACCTACAAGTTGTAAACCAATATGTGCTATACGGCAAAAAGTGTATTCCGTATATGAAATACGCATTTTTCGGATGCAATCCATTATTTTGCTCCACTTTCAACAGAATATTGTATTGACAATAAGCCTGTTCTCACAGGTCAGTTCAGAATTCACTTTGATATAGAAATAGGACACTAAGATCTAAACAAGTGATCCTCTTGCGTCAGTATTCAACTCTGTTATATGTTCTTGCACTGTGGCCAGTTGTTCATTTTTCAGTCAGAATCTCAGAAGGTTAAAAAGAACTGAATTTTTATTTATGCTTTGCGTAACCAGACAATCAAAACATGACAATAAAGTACGCCGCTTTGGGTAGTGCCAAATATTCTCATCTAGATTCTTAGTCTTAATTAATCTTCTAACGTATTAAGCGCAAATCGCGTTTGCTTGCTTTCCACTATGGAAACTGAATGATGTTCGCTCGGGGCATTTCCAGACTTGCTTAATCAGCTCGAAGTTGCATGGGCCACTTGTTGACAGTGATGGATGTACTGCTGTCCTCTGATTGCATATTTTTACTAGATAGTAGGAATGCCTGATTTTCATATAACCAGACTACATTACATCTATTTAGCTTTTTGTCTTAATTTAATTCCTCAAGTACTATCATTATTTTCGGCACATTCCAACAACATTTAGGCTGTTTAAAACGGTAAAGTAATACCTGCAAAGGATGCTGATAGCACTGCTTCCTTTTCGAATTAAAGTTTACTGGTTTGTGAAGAATCCCATGTGTGTATCTGCTCAGGTAGGGCCACCTAATCTTTGAACACTTCCCAGCCAGAGTATGTTGTTGTCTTACAAAGTGGGTCTTGCGTGAACAGTACCACATTTCATGCAATAATCACCGTTGAATGAAGATCTAATCCATGCTTAAATTATATTCTAAATCTATATTCCAGACCCATTAATAAGCTTTTAATGTTACATTTAAATAATGTACAATGAGTTCAAATCCCTTCGCAAAATCTTTCCTACTCAATTTGGTTTCAGACGATGCACGAAGATAAGTTATTACGGATGCAAGTTACCAATGTGAGTAGATGTCTCATTTGGTTTTGTTATCTTCTGCAGCATATATGCATTTGATGTTGTTGGTCTGACCAGATAAAAGTTTTCGCCTTTGCCTCTGCTTTTTGCACTTGAATTATTGTCATGTGGTGAACATTTTCCAATAAGGTGCTTAAATTCCGTTTTTGTTCATTGTTGTTTCGTGAAAAATCCGGCTGTTTATCCAGCGTAGCCATTTCTAGCGCTGTGCCCACGAGACCGCAGGTATTTAATTGACTTTGTGAAGTGTACCGAAATCGGAGGTTTCAAGGCAAGGCGGTGGTTGCACCACCTTATGTTAGGGCAGCGGCAGCAGCAGACAAGTCACCGTATTGTGTGGGTCTAATAGGTACCTCTGTCCCCTAATTCATTGCGGCCAGGCGACGGCCATTAATTTATTGGATCCACCAGCCATATATAAGAGATGAATTTAGCTTTTTTCCTCAGCTTCATGATAAGTTCAAGCATGTTAGTGAGTCCTATAAGTATAGCGTAGAAGCGCAAAATATCAAAAGCAATCTGTGGGTTTGTGAATGTCTATGCTGTCACAGCGTCTGTAGAATCTTTTTGCTGTTCCTAATTAGATTCGGTATTCCCATCCTCAGCTGCCAAAGTTGAAATGCCAGTTTATTTCCTTTGTGTTAAAAGTTTGGAGATTTGAATTACTGATGGGACTGTCAATAAGTGCATACAAAACAATTCCTTTGAAATATACCCAAAGCAATATGGTTTGCAGGGAGTACGATCTGCTCGTCTGCATTACGTATGGTTTGCATTGTTATCTCGGAATCCATGTCTGCATGACAAGGAAACTCTGCTTTACAAAACAGTTGGAGCTTGTTGTGTTCTTCATGTCCTTCCACGCGTCAGCGATCCAGAACACGAGCTCCGATAAATGTACTACTTCATGGGTTCAGTTACTGGTATATCTTCGTGTGATCGCATGATGGTAATAATATGTAGAAACTGTATTTTACGAACATTAATTTAAGTGCTTGAATAACACCCTGATAGAGGGGTTGAAATGATGCAGTGGTGTTAGATGTTAGGAACTGTAGTTTGACAATCTTTAGCTGAATTCTGAAATGGCGTGGCATTATTAAGGAAAAGATGGATGTTACGTTTCTTTTGTTACATCTTTTGTCAAAGATTTTAAGTCCATCTTCAAAAACCGCTGCATTCGTCCACGCCTACTTTTATCCTTGTAAATTGTCAGTGGCTTTTTCACTTGAAATTTTTAAAAATTCGTGGGTGGGCTGATTTCCCATTCTCTAAGGCCGATTCCCGCATCCCACCATATTAGTACAGAGCATTATTGTGATTCGCTCTCTGATTCTTTTTGCGCCTGCCCATTTTGCTCGTCTGATAAAACTTTTTCACACTAGCTTTGATTGGCAACTGCTTTACCTTAATTATTAATGCCTTGGGGCGCACAAGGACAACATATTTCGGGTACTTTTGCTGTCCAGTCTGATACAGTACACATATCTGTCTCTGCTTTCGTTAGATTGCTTTCCAAACACAAGGTTGTGCCTGCTGATGAAAGCCTGCAGGCAACCTTTTGATCCTTAAGATTTGAGTTAATTGATTCTTTCGATATCCAAAACTCGTTTTTAAATAATTGGTCCATATAGTTGGATTTCTCTTGCAACGGCAGACTCCGCCGTATGCAAAAAGTGCGTTAATTTATTCAGTTTCGGTTGCTATCCTGTTCCGTTTTTAGGTCTTGTTGCTTTGTTTTATAGTCTTTTAAAAAATCGGCTTTCCATTTTAATGTTTGAACGATTTGTGTCCTTCCTACTTCAAGAGTTCTGCCAATGTTCACGAACTTTTCCTTCTTGACTTCTTCGCACCAGTGATATTCTTCCTTCAAGTGTTAACACCTTCAGCTTTGCGACTATGTAATTAGCCATTTTGTCCATTATCAGACTCTTCAATCACAACCTGTTCCGATCGAAATGGACACAAAATGCTGTAGTTTTATTTATCTGCAATTTTTGTGTGACGGAAACCCGCTTGACTAGACAACGGCTCCAGTTTCCCTATACTATTCGGGTTTTGCAAATAACGTGTACTTTGGTGAACAAATCAGTCCCATAGGACTACCACCTACACGTAATTACAGGTACGGTCCAAGATGCCATGGCGACCAGCCAAAAAACATCCTAAACTTTTTCTCATGAGTAATGTCCTTATGCATGAACCTAGCCATGACGACCAGTTGTCCAAGGGGACCACATTTTGTCGGTCACTTGAGTGGCCGCCTTAGTGAGCAGTGGCGTAGCATTGGGGCGTGGGAGGGGGAAATGAGGCTGTCCGCCTCCAAGAGGCATGTGACAGTGACACCACAAACTGATGTATACTATGCCTAGAGTCGGTAGGCTGGCTTTCACAAACCTATGCGGCCCTCAGAAAGGACACGTGACACCGTGCGATAGGTGCTGAAATTGTTATTTTGCTCAATTTTCTGCAGGTGTTCTGCAGTTCAGCCAGTCGTTCACTCGTGAGTACACATCCAGTCGCATTGTCGGGGACCTCATCTGTTCCAGTATTCTACCCGACAACCACGGTTGAACTTCAGTGGGAATAAGTCTCAGGTTGTTACACTGGCATCGCCGACTGTCTCGATAACCTCACATTTTTGGAACTATTGTGAGCTGAGATGATGTGATCAATACACTCCCGCACGCAGCTAAACTGTGCCGTGGTGGTCGCCTTTCACATGTTCTACAGAACGGGGAATCACGAAAACTTGGTCGCGGTGGCGTTAGGCAGATGGATGCGGTAAACAGGTTTGGACAAATCGTTGGAGATGTTTTAGGCTGGTCACCGTAGACAGGCGATCGCGTTAGACAGGTGGCCGCCACTGCAAGTTGCATTATATATTGTTGGAGGCATCCGGTTCCGGATTTGCCTATCACTGCGGCCTCCATAGGACAGTCACATGGGGATTGGGCCTACAGAGGGACCATTAGTGGTTTGCTCTGCACCACCCACAGCTCCATCCACACACCCCATATCCAGCATAATTCCGAAGGAATAAGACCGAGAGGTACATGGATGGGAGCCACGTTTCATTAACGGAGCTTGCCCACACTCTTTCAGAGGTAAACATAAGCACACCGTATTTGGGGAATCAAGCGCATACAAGGCAAAGGTTGGATAGTAATCCGCTCCACATTAGATGGAACGACTCTTCGTGCCTAGCACGGCCACGAGGACCATGCACCCCCGTCCGTTCCAGCGTTAACCAAATGATTCCTGGAGCCAATATAGACGATGTAGTTGGTTATCAAAAGGTGAGCACCTTATAAATATATATATATATATATGAGACCGTGGAAATAGGCATCGAGCTATTAAAAATCATGGAATCAGTTATACCTAATGATTTAATGACTTACTTCAATGTACAATACATTTAAAATTGAACCAATTAAAGACAAACATTCGCTGTTTTTTCTCTGTTTCAAATGACAAGTTGCACCCCTCTAATTTGTGAGAGTTAATCCCTATGATAACGGAGATTCACCCAAACAAATGTATATTACTACCACTGCATCCGATTTTGTGCCTCGCACAAGGAACATTATAATGAGCTGGCATTCTTCGTAGTAAAATCCCCAACGGGGATTATATGGGGGCCTAGCTTTGGCTAGGGAAGCTTGTCGCCAATTATTCGGATGGTCTCGGCACGGTGGTGCTCAATGCTGCTCTTCGAGCGCAAATGGAGTGCAGCATAGTAATCGCTCGTTAGGAATGCGCAGGTTGTGGCAAACCCACGTCAATTGGCGGAGCAGAACAAGCGCACAGAGAGGAAGAATAGCCTTGCCCAAGGCGCGCTGTCTTACTTAATCATTGCGCACTCGGTGTCGCCACCGTACACAGGCAATCTTTCTCAGTCATGGATTGTCCAACTTCAAAAACCCAAGAATGTCATCTACGCGGATCCATTAGGATTGGTGTCTGTAAAACAGTATCGAGCAAACATAGACATTATAAGCCATGCAATTGAATGTGAGCACAATGTCGCGGCGACATAGATGTTTTGTGCTGGCAAGGTTTGATTGGGATTCAGCGACATGTAAGATAAACCGCTCTCCAGTAGTGCCACCGGAGAAAATGTGGCTCACCGGGTAGACATATATAAACATGGGTTCATGTTGTTCAAGTTACTGTAGGTATAGCAGCTTACTATTCGGAACCCTATAACTTAGCTAGTTTTGTCATAAAGAAGGTTGATCTAATGAGTCGAATACAGACCGAATGTCCAGGAAAACGATGATCGCACACCTGCGGTAAAGATTCGGATGTACAACAAGATAATGAAGCGTATCTATTTGATTTATCAATCCGAACGAGGAAAAAACCAGCATGTTTATTCTAGAATTCTGTCATGCGCATCAGGGCTAGCCTGCGGAGCTTAATGTGTGACGATAACTGGAATGTGTCTGATGTGAAAGGTACATTAATTGCAAACATTTTGATTAAACTCATAAAAATTAATGACTTTTCAAGAAAACGGCACTATTGCTTCGTGTCAGCTCTTCAGGTCCAAAGATATCAACTATCTGTTAATTATTACGTCACCAAATTACAACCGTTCTGGTGGAAGTTCATTTGTACTTTCGGCGTTAAAACACGGATGATGTCGGATCTCGACAAGCTTCTACTTCGGAGGATGATTCTAGAGAAACTGCGCACTGTATGCAAACCGGTGTGCTAAGTGCAAATTTGGACATCGAGATTTGACTGTTTTATATTAAGATGCACAGCCCATATGCCTACGCTTCTACGTAAGTTATGGATTTGCTACACTTCCGCTTAACTGATGACTTTTCTCATAACATACCAACTGTGTTCATTTGTCTTAATGAGCAGTAACAAATCGCGAGTTATTTCCAGTGAGAGCAGCAAGTGCAATCTCGAAGGCAGGTTGTGACCACTATTATTTCCGATCAAGATGGAATTATTGTAGTTGTCGT